TGGTATTTGGATTTTATAAGTATAGATTAATTTTTGGTTTTTTATATTAGTGTTGAGTTACAATTAACCGTGCTCAAGTGGTTAAATTAGTTATTGTCATTTCTTTRATCAAATTTACTTTAAATATTATAATTTACTTAACAGTATCTCATTGTACTTGTACGGTGCTCCCGGGTTAAAATTGTTAATTGATTTTTAATTGGTGTATTAGCTTTAGATTTTCTCACTAGCTGCTGGTCTAGTTAACCCTTATCTTGTATATTACATTTTAGTTAAGCTACTGCTTTTTTTTTTATTATTATTTGTTCATTGGGTAAATAGTAATATATTCAGTGTTTACTGTATAAGCTTTATATTTATAAAACTGTTTAGCATAAACCAAGGTGTGCGTCGTGGGTCGTGCTAGTGATCAGGTACTGTATTGTCACTTTATTTATATTATTTTAAGTGTTGTTATTTTATATTCACTTTATGTTGACCAACTGAAGGTTATAATTGATACAGCTGGTTATTTAACCGGATCATTGTTGTTGTAATTAAGTTGAGATTTATATTTTTGGTATTGCATTGTTCGGTTACACCTGTGTATTATTTAATATTAATATAGTAGGTGCTCTCCTATTATTTAATTATTTAATTTTTAACCATATTGAGGGTAGGCTGTTGCTCAGTTGGTCTATTGTCTGTTTAAATTTTTACTTTTGAGTTTATTTGTTGATCTGAACACAATCTATTTGTCGTAGTCACTTGGCTTAGCATCGTACAGCTATTATGACTATTTGATTGCCAGTTTATTTTTGTTGATTATCTATTAGTAATATATTCCTGCTCTGGTTTATTTTTGTTGATTATCTATTAGTATAGTTGATATAATGGCTATCAATGAACGTGATGCTCGTGCAAAGGAGCAAATGATCCTTCGTAGAGATCAGGTTATCGCTCGGATAAAGCAGATACATACATTGGCTACTAGTTCAGCCACTGATCAAGCTAGTCGTGCTCAACTAGCAATTGCTATTGCTGACATTGATAATTTGTGGTCCAACTTTGTCGTAGAAAATAATAATCTGTTGGAAATATTATCTGAACTTGATTTGTTGGGGGAGTTTTCGTTGGAGGTAGAGACTACCACTCGGGTTCTGGTGGTCGAAGCTAAGGCTATGAGCGCGGCTGCTCAACCTGCTCCGGTTGTAAGCGTTGGCACTATCCAACAAGTCTCCTATGACGTTCAGGGTGATAATGCCAGTTGTTCCACTAGCACATCCAAGGAGTGTCCGGTATCGTTCGTTGAAAGAACTGTGGCTTCTTCTAGGCTTCCGGAGATACCTCTACCATATTTTGATGGGGAATGTCAAAATTGGCCTGCTTTCCGGGATAGGTTCCAGGCCTTAGTAGACCAACGTACGAACATTCCCAACGTTGACAAATTCTATTATCTAATCGGATGCCTCCATACTGATCCGCAGGAGGTAGTGAAGGGGTATACGATTTTGAATGAAACCTATACTCTAGCCTGGAACGCCTTAGTCGAACGATATGATAAACCGCGCAAGCTCGCTTCGTTGATCATCGATAAGTTACTATCGGCTCCTATCGCGAGCTCCGAAACCTTTGTGTCCTTGCAAACTTTCTTATCAAATTTTGATGAAAATATTGCCGTTTTGGAATCGCTCCGTATTCCGGATTTGTCTTCGTTCTTATTGTTTTCATTGGCTGCTAGGTGTTTTACCTATGTCATCGAGACGTTTGTTGGAAGCTGAAAACGAGGAAGAATATCCGTCCATTCATAGTGTGTTAAAGTTTGTTAAGACAAGGATTCAAGTTATTGAAAACGCTGGTGTATCGCCGTCTGGAAGCTCGTCCAGGCTCACCAACATCAAGAAGACTGGACTTCGTCGTGATGTACGATCCGCCTTGGTGTCTGCGCCCGACACTACTTCGTCTAAACCCTCGTCGAAGACTGCTCCGTCAAAATGTATAGCCTGTTCCGGTACCCACCGATTAACTGATTGTGCCAAGTTTAAGGCTTGGTCGATCGATGAACGTTATAACCTCGTGTGTACCCATTGACTTTGCATGATTTGTTTTGGTGTGGAACATATGTCGTTCAAGTGCCCTCCTTCGTGTTGCATTTGCAAACGTCGACATCACACATTACTACATCGGGAGTCAAAACCAACGGCTTTGAATCCGCCAGCGGCCATGCTAGGTCGACAGAAATCTCCTACGGTGCTATTAGGGACAGCTCTGATCCATGTACGAGACACAGTGGGGAATGGCCAGACGGTACGAGCCCTGATTGACTCCGCCTCGCAAATAAGTGCAATAACCTCAGCCTGTTGCAATCGTTTGGGCTTAAAGCCTTCGCATTGGACAGTACCTGTTACCGGGCTGTCAGGCCAAAAGGTTCCGGATGTGCAGGGAATCGTGCAGCTGACGATCCAGCCTCGAGGCAATCCCATTCCATTCATCAACGTTAAACCATGGGTGCTGACCGCGATAACTTCCGACATGCCAGCCCGAAAGTTACCAGCTCAGGTACGGGCAAGGTGCAACCATTTAACGCTCGCGGGTCCAACCTTTGATAAACCTGCTCCAGTCGATATGCTAATCGGTGCTGACATCTTCCCTCAAATCTGGAATGACAAGAGCAGGTCATTGGGTCCAGGATACCCTTCTGTTTACAGCTCCGTTTTCGGTTGGGTGCTGATCGGCCCAGTTCAAGAACACCCAGATATTGGCGCACAATCCATGCTGGTATCATTGGTGCCGTCCATTGAATCCATCATGGAGAGATTTTGGAAGGTTGAAGAACCTGAGGCTGCTCCGCCTCAGTTTACCGAAGATGGCTTGTGTGAAGAGTTGTTTCAGGCTAAGATGAGACGAGATTCACGGGGTCGTTTTTCCGTTCCTCTCCCTTTCCGCTCTGGTCGATCAACTGAATGCTTTCCCGGCTCGCGTCAAGTGGCTCTAAATCGCCTTCTGCATTTAGAACGGAAACTTTCAGGCGATCAAACCTTGTACAACGCTTACCGAAAATTCATGCAGGAGTATGAGGAGTTAGGCCACATGTCTATTGCGGAAGGAGCAGGGCAGTATTACATACCTCACCATGCGGTTCAGAAGGTGGAAGGAGAGATGTCAAAGTTAAGGGTGGTTTTCGACGCTTCTGCGAAATGCCATTCCGGGGTGTCAATCAACCAATGCTTGTTGGTTGGCCCGAAGCTCCAGCAGGATATTGTCGATGTTTTAATTGGTTTTCGGGTGCATAAAGTGGCGTTCACGACTGACATCTGCAAGATGTATCGTCAGATTGACGTGTTACCGCAATACCGAGGGTGCCAATATATCCTGTGGAGAGATTCTCCTCAAGTCATTGTCAAAGATTATGTACTTAACACGGTCACGTACGGGGTAAATAGTGCTCCTTATTTAGCCCTGCGTGTCCTCCGGTAAATTGCTGACGTGGAGTGTGAAGACTTACTGGATGTCAAGAACGCTCTTTACAATCAAACATATATGGACGATATTTGTGTTGGAGCGGGGTCACTAAAGGAGGCCAAAACTCTTCAGTCTAATTTGATAAACACTCTTGCCAGATCCGGCCTACAGCTGAAGAAATGGGCAAGCAACGCTCCAGACTTGCTGAGTCAGTTACCACCTGAAGATTGTTCCAGAGATCCGTTGGCGTTCGAGCAAGATAATGCGACGCAGGAGTTGGGCATGCGGTGGAACCATGACCAGGATTATTTCTCCTTTAGTATCAATAACTTCAAGATGATTCCTACCAAGCGCGGTGTGTTATCCAGGATCTTTGATCCGTTAGTCTTACTAGCACCAACCATATTTTACGCGAAGACAATAATGCAACGAGTGTGGCTCGCGCAGATCGATTGGGATGATCAACTTCCGTCAGACATTGAAGAGGATTGGCAGGAGTTCTATCAATCGTTGGGTTGGCTAGTGGG